TGCTCTTCTCATTTTCATGGAGATGCCTCTGTAACTATTTCCTGACTTGGCTGCACATGAGATTCATCTGGGAAGTTTGTTAAACATTCCAGCGCCCAGGTTGCATCCTACACCACTCACCTAAGGATGGTGATGGAGGCAGGCATCAGTCTTATTTTTAAATTCTCAGCTGATTGGAATGGCAGCAAAATCTGGGATAACCACTACAATCTGACTTTCTTAAACTAGGTTCTCTGGGAGCCAGATGGAAATGCAGCCTAGCAGGGCCCATCTCAGATCTGCTGAGTCAGCATCTGAATGTGAACAACCCCTAGCTGACTGTGCACACATAATTTGAATGGCAGGTCTCCAAAACAAAATTGGCACAACAGACCTATGTATTTGAATCAGCTTTAACTGGCATACTGTCATGCCCATGCTTATTCGTTTGCATAGCATTTACAACAGCGCTTGGTAATTGTGACTGAATGTAAAAAAAAAAAACAAACTCTCTTCTCAATACAGCTTTGAAAAGCTTTGCAATGCTTTTCAACCTTGATGCCTCATTAGAATCACCTCAGAGCTTGAAAACTTTTTCTGCCTGGTTGTACCCCAGGCTCATTAAGTCAGAGTAAGGAAGGAAGCGAGACCCAAGTATCAATCATTCTTAATGCTTCCCAGGTATTGAATGTACAGTCAAGGTTCAGAACCACTGCCCTCACAGTACAAAGAGAAAGTGTAGCTTCATTTAAAAAATCCCATCTTTATGTTGGTGGTAGCCATTTTTGAACATTAAGGAAAAAGAGAAGCAGTTATGGGAAGACTGAGGTTTTTGACCATTTAACAAACTTTTGGATTCAAAGGGAAAGCAAAAACACCTGAGGCAAAATTTTAGATTTTAGATCTAAAGTTCTTTTAGATTAAAAGAATGATAAACTGTGTGAGATATCAATATATTCCATGTAATATCTCCCTTTATATAAAACTTTGTCTAAAAGTGAATGAGAGGAACAAAGGTCATCTGGCAAAGGTCACTATAAGTCACTTTCAAGGAGAAAATAAAGTTAATAATTAAATGAAGTCATAATTAACTATTCACAAAGAAGAGCAACATGAAACAGTGATGAGCTCCTATTTGGGAGTGGGAGCCATCGAATTTGGATTCTTACTTTTCCTCCTTCTCTCTTTTGCTTCCTCAGTTCTTTCTTGTTCCTCTCTCAGCCCCTTCTCGTTCCTCTCTCAGTCCCTTCCTCACAACATTCAGTTGCCTTGGGGTTATGGGCCAAGCGCAAGCTGTGAGAAGTTTGGCCAGATGACCACAGCATTGGAAGGGCTTCCTAGAGTACTGGATTGGAGCTGACTGGCCAAAGTCTGTCCAGGACAGTGGTGACAAATTTGGACTTTGTGGGAGTAGAAAATTTGAGTTGAAACCTGGCACAGTTGCTTTAAAGTTGTGGACTGGAACACACTATCCTGTCTGCTTACACTTAGCTCTTTTCTTTTGTTGTATGGATCAAATAAGATATAGCTAAGGGCTTAGACACAAATAAGTAAATTAAAAATAATAGAGATCTATATAATAAATGTAATCACTGTCAACATATCATTTTTCCAATTATTTTAAACAGTAATAACAGTATATGCCAAGTGTGTGTGTGTGTGTCCTTTATATATTACTGATCTTGCAATGTCTCTTTGCTTGTTTTTATTAGAGAACATGGTCAGAGCTAAATCAGCTGTTTACTTCTAGTGAGAGCATAAGACCTTGTAGTCTGCTGCATTGATTTTTTCCTACCTCTATTTTAATACATCTCAATTAAAAGAGAAACTTTCATTTTATTATAGTTTTTGGGAGTCACCTTAAAATGTGGTGAGCTACAAATAAGCAAGCAAAAAGAACAAACAACATCACTTCAAGATAAAAAATTTGGATTGTTTGCAGTCAACTTTTGTTCTCATACATGAAAACAAAACACACATGGAATTTTAACGATAAAACAATGAACTGCTAACATATTACTAAGCATTCATATGTCCTTGATTGGCTTTATGCTAATTGCTAGTCTTCTTATGCTTCAGATTACTAATTCTGTCATTTTATCTCCAGGCGGTTGTGTATGGCAATGGTACTGTGATGGACTCAGCCACCTTGGTTGGGCTGAATGCTTTAAAACCATTAGTAATGTTTGTTAAAACTACACTTTCCGGGCCCTCCCTGGTGGCACAGCGGGTTAAAGCACAGCACTGAGAAGCTAAAGCCACTTCCGCATGAGTTCCACTCCCCCCCTGCCCCGGAGGCCACCCACAAGGCATGGTAGACCTCTCCTGACCCGCCCTCTGCTCCCTTCAGCATTGTACTTAGTCAATCTGCCTGTTCTGCTCCCCACTCTGTCTCTGGTGAAGCCTCTTGCTTCCCCTGAGCCTCTGGCCTGTACCCCAGTTCTGTATGCACAAATAAATACATCTTAAAAAACAAACAAACAAACAAACTACACTTTCCAGCCTCTGTCCCATTCTGATTTAATAAGATTTGTGAACTTTGAAATTGTTTTGCACAAATAATAAATTTTCTAAGAAGCTGAACATTTCAAGATTTTCCCTGTTGGTGTTTCCTTTACAGTTGAACCTCTACAGGGTTGGGTATAAAAATCTGGTCAGGCTGTTAGTCCTACTGTTTTGTATTACTCAATTGTCATTAAATACTAACTGTCATATAATATGATTTGAGTTGCATTAAAGTGCCTTCAATTGGGCATTTTATTATTGTTTTTCCACTTATCTTTATACTTGAAATTTGAAGGAGAAAAATATCAGATACTTCTCAAAACAGGTATCCAAGAGCTGGACGTTTTTTTCACCTTTCAATTTTATTATGTCTTGAAAGTTCATTCCTTTTGTGCTCTGGTCAACACTTACCATCCATGTTTTTGAGCATTCCTTTGCAACATTTTTGATTCATAGGTTGGATCTCTGTGATCTCCACTCCATTTCTATTTTCTTAAATTTCACTTTATTTTCTCCCTTTCTTATTTTCTCTGCTTTCTGAGATTACTTTTTGATTTTGTATTCTACATCAAGTTTGGCTTTCAGCAGCATTGTCAGCCTTTCATCAGTTTGGTTAGGCCTGTATCTTGGTTGCTGAGCCCTTTCATTTCATGAACATTCCTTCTATCTCTGCACAATTTTGTTTAATAAAAGCAGTATATATATCATTTAGAAGAGAAGGTGAATGTTATACATACATACATACATACATACATACATACATACATACATACATATATATACACACATACATATATATATATATATATATATATATATAT